CTCCATAAGGTGCCAATCAAACGGGGACTCGAACTCAAGTCATGGGAGTAGATGGGCAGAAACCAAACCGCTTTCCTAAGATGAGCCCATTGCTCCACAGACTATTAATAATCTTGGATCTTTATGCTGAGGCTAATTTTGAATGTTGATTTACGTGAATTAGTCTAGGCCAGGCTGATTCTGAATAAAGACTAATTTTGAACCCATACTAATTACTGTAGCTGGACGAGGTGAAGTTCTTGCTTTGAACCGATATCTCACTGGATGGCGCCCCGAACCAAATCGTGTACAGACGGCGTGCGTACATCAAAGCGAAGTTAAAAGAGTTCAGCACGGAGAATGCCCATGGGTGATGCACACCACGATCAACCAGTGAGTCGAACATTGGGGTGAAGACGGCTGCCAAGGATGATCTACTTACACCACCGGGAACTTGTCGGTGCGCTGCAGTATCTTGTCTCCGGATCTCGCCCTGACATTTCCGATGCAGTGAGGCACTTAGGCAAGCATCTGACAAACTTCACGCCACAATACTATGCTGAAACTCAACGAGTACTGCGCTACTTACTACCTACGTACAAAAGACTAAGCCCTTCATATAATTGTGGTACCCGGGGACGAAGTTACTATCACGGCCTTTACTGGCTCTGACTACGCGAACGACCTCGATGATAACGTGTCAGTATCAGGCTACGTCCCATATCTGGATGGCAATGTGAAATCATACGGCCCTCGCAAGCAAAGTATCAAGGCCCAGGCCAGCACAGAAGTTGAATACTTAAGTATAAATAAAAAAATTAACGAGGGTGTCCGCGACGTCCTGTGGGTGGTTGAGCTGTGTGAGGAGCTCCGCTGGAGCCACAATATCCCGTTGCTGCGCGGGGATAACCAGGCCGCTTTCAATCAAACGCAAAATCCAGGCAAGCCCTCGAACATAACATATTACAAACAGGTTCCATCTAGTTCGACACCTGGTAGAAAGAGGAAGCTTCGAATAACCCACGTACCAACAAATAAAAACACGGCTATTATTATGACGAAAGCCCTCGGCAATCACAAATTCCACATATTCAGAGATCACATGAAGGATCTACCTAGGAAGGGCAGTTCGGAGGAGCCAGCATTGTCCTCTCTGCAGCAGGGCTTGTCAAGCTCGTAACTAAGATAAGGTTGAAGCGCTCACAGCACTCGGCTACCCGGTTGAAGACACCATGTAGCTTGCTCTCGTATTGCGAGCGAGTGGGAGTGGGAGTTTGCAACGACTGTGTCATCGTGCCAAGCCCTTCAACTCTGTCGCAGTATCCTGCACTGCCGTGCCAGACAGGCCAGCCGCTGCAAGCTGCGACTTGCAATGCGCGCACGACTGCAACCACCACACTGCGGTGATTACCTAGCAGGACTCCAGTGCGAGTGCCCTGTAAGTAAGTAAATACATCTACGGTTGAGGAATGAGGAAGGTGTATTTCATTCAAGCTTTCGCCGCCTGCAGGTGCCTTCCCACTCCAAGTCCATGCTGAGGTTCTTCGAGTAGTCGTGCGTTAAAGTCTCGTTGTTATTACTCTCGACGTGTTTGCAGATAATAGTTCAACTATCCTACCTTACATACACTAATTATGCACACGCCGCACTTCCCTTTAACATAGCGGTCACTAACTACAGTGGTCACGGTAATTAATCTAAGTTGATAAATAATCTCATACACTAAATATTCTCACTCAAGTTTGTTGAGAATAATTCACGTGAACAAACCTTTTCAGAGTTGATTATTAATCTCAGTTGTGGTTGATATCTTGTACTCACTATCGGGCTTGGTGCAGTGGTTAATGATCGCCCTAGCCAATCGCTGCATTGTGAGTTCAAGTCCCGCAGCAGCAGTGCATCGGATGTCAATTGTCCCTTTTAGAGTTAGATCTGTGGTGATGTATGTTATGTGGAGTGTTCTGTCCCAATAATTGGCATACGTTCGTTGCTCGGCTGTAAACACTGATGTTCGTACTTAAGAAAATTTTCACTGTATTTATTTAATAATACCAACAAAAGTACAAATTGGCTGTGGCTTTAAATTATATGATTGCATGTACTTGTGCCTAAGCCTTCTTCATTTCATAATGTTTTGTTTTAATAATTCTCTCTGCTACTATACAGTCCAGTGACATCCCAACCCTCTGTTTTACTGTAGGTCCTGCTAATGGCTAGCTCTGAAACCAATCATTTTCAAATTTTCTGCTAAACCGACACTTCATTCACCACTCAGCATTCATGAGCAACTTGACTACAGAACAACCTCGTGGAGGGTGTGGCGCTTTGGTTGGCGGTGTTCACGTCTGCCCGAAGTGCAGGATCAACATGCACCCTTTCTGTGGCACCCCTGTCGGAAAAGAGAGATACGGGCAGCCTGTACTCTGCCCACGCTGTGAGACCCAACAAGATGCCATTGTACACAGCGATGGATCTCCAATAATCGCGGCATTTGAGCGTACCGCTCAAGTTTCCTGCAGCCACGAGGTGGACTCTGTGTCTGCACCTGCGACTTCAGAGTCGAAAAATGAAGACGAGAGTGACGAGGCTATCGTTGCCGACGAGACGTCTATGCCACCGCGCCATCGAAGCCGACCCGCTACTACAGCCATTTCAAAGCGTCAGAAGGTTGTTCGCTGGATAGAAGATCAAATGAGTCAGCGGGAAAATCGCAAGGGTATTTATGCCTTTGCTGTAGACGAATTTCCTGAGATCTTCAGCTTGCGAACAAGAAACGCCAATATCGCCAAAGCTATGGACTGGTGGAAGAAAAGGGGAACTTTCTTGGCAGCCAAAAGGGGGTATACGACGCTGTCGTCTCGTCGCCAAGGAGGTAGAAAGCGCGTGAGCCTGAAGGTTTTACCTGGGCGCGGACGTTCACGCGCCGTATGGATGTCTTGGCTGTATGGGCATCTCGTGGATGAACTTGACCGTCTTCGAAAAGCGGGGCTCAAGTTTGACGCCAGTATGCTGCGTCAATTGGCACTGCGAATCCTACGTACTCAAGGAGAAGGCTATGATGAAGAAAGTGTAGATGAGAACGGTGCTAAGCTCTACGATAAGGTGACTTCACGGTGGATTCAAAGTTTTATGGAGAATCATGACATCGTGTTGCGAACTCAAACCGGCAAAAAGCAGGTCAGTGCAACTAAGCAGGCTGCAATAGATCAAGAAGTTGCGCGCCACCTAGGTAAGGTGAAGCGTGCATTTGAGGATGGCTCGTTGAATGAAGAAACTGTGGAAAATATCGATGAGACTCACTTTGTAGTCGACTTCGACAACAAGAAGACGCTCGGGTTTATCGGCGACAAGCAAGTTAAGTACGCGGATGTTGTGTCAGGCGGGGAGGGCATCACAATGGTCGTGAGGATTTCAGGTGGTCCTGGAGCACGCATTTTGCCTCCAATGATGATCTTCACTAACAAGGACTCCAAATATCCGATCCGCGGCGTATAGAACGATGTACCCGGAGTTTGCTATCGTACGGGCCCTAAAGGGTGGATGGATAAGAGAGTGTTTCGGCAGTATCTCTCTGAGAATGGAGCGATGAGTTCGGATCGCCTAGGCCCGAACGAAGACCATCTTATTGGACAATTGCGCATCTCATTTAAGCGAAGAAGAATGCAAGGTCGAGCTGGCTACTCTTAATGCCAAGCTACAATTCTTTCCTGCCAACGCCACGGATCTGTGTCAGCCAGCGGACTCTTTCGTGATAGCCAAGATTAAGGATGTTTGGGCTAGACTGTGGAACGAGAAGAAGATTGACCTTATCGAGGAAGAGCAGTGGCAGGATACAGTCCGAAAAGATGGATCGTAGTCGGGAAAATGCGGAATCCGGGCAAGAAGTTTTTCCTGTCTCTTGCTGCTCAAGCTGTACGCGAGGTCAACTCGCACAGGGATAAAAACGGCATCACCTACGCTCGCAAAGCCATGATAAGAGCTAATGTGTCCTTGGACCTTGATGGAGTATGGAGAACAACACAATTGTTTCCTCATCTGCAAGAAATTATTCGAAAATACCTGGATCATTTCGCTGGAGACGTTGCTGGAAACACAGAGTTGAACACCAGCGACAAAGTGGAAATACCTTCGGCGACGGTGATCGGTACTCTACCTTCTGGTATGGTTTATGCCGACATGTAGATGTGAGATTAATTTCAGGGCTACATAAAATAATAGCAATGAGATTTATTTTACCAAACACTATTTAATGGAAGTTCATTAATACTCTCACGGAGATCAATTGCTGTGTGAGATAAAACAATTACTTCACACAAAATAATTTCAATGAGATTCATTACCGTGACCACTGTAGTGCCTGGAAAGCTCACACTACAAGCCGTGAGTTACGACGCCTAGCGCTCAGTGAGTACTAATTTAATCAGATAGTTTCATCCAATCAGACCGGCTGACTTTTCAGATTTAATAATTTCTGTATCTTACGAATGCTCGACACAAAATTTGTGACAACTCAATCGAAATGCTCCTTAGCAATGAAGCCTACTTTTCAAGTTAGCCGATGTACTTGATAGAGCTCGTCGCGAGCTTTTGATTCATACTCGTTGCAGTCAACTTTGAAGCTCGCGCCAAGATACGACCGTTTAAAAATTTAAAATTTAAATGTTGCTTAAGTTCGAAATTGGTTCTAGAGTGAAATTTTGCGGGGAATCCGAAAATGTCCTCGATTTTGCTCAATTACACGTGGAAGCTATTGGATATTAAGTTCGCATGAACTTTTTTTATGGACCGCACGAAAAATTGCATTAGGTAAAGTCATTTCGATTCAGCGCTGGGACATCTTCTGTCCTCCTTTACAAAAAGTCTTAAGATGGCGTTCTGGTTTAACTTATTAAAAGCGATCAATTCGTCTCAAATGATTGAATCTATATTACTCTTGTCAAATTCCCAATTTTAAACGGTCACGAAACTAAAACTAAACATGTAGTAACATAATATGCTAAAAGTAATAAAAGATATTCACAAAATTTAAAATAGTGAAAACATTTTTTTTAAATCTCAAGTAAACTTTTGAATTAAGCTTTTTCCGAGACGAGCAATTCTTCTTTCTTAGAGCACAGTGTCGTGAGATGTCGTATGTCGTAAGATGTCGTTGCCCATATCTTTTTGTTCCAGTTTGCAGCAATACAATCAGAGATCACGATCTTGGTCTTCTTCATCGTCATCCAAGTGGCTAAGCACTTCGTCACCCATTCCCGAGCGGTCGTTAATAAGCACCAAGTGCCAGCCAAACTGCAATTTAAAAACTAGTCAGTTTAATACATCACAACAGAACAGTCCTCCCATATCGTCTCTTACCTGGGTCTTGACTTTGTGAACTTCTCCCACAGGCTTCTCGAAAGCAACCGTGTCGAACTCGGGGACCATTTGGCCACGACCGAACGACCCCAGATCCCCACCCTGGCGACTCGACGGACACTTGCTGCGTTCTTTGGCCAAACGAGCAAAAGTCGACTCGAGGTCGTCGGCCGCCTGCAGCTCCTTCAAGATCTCGTCGCACTCCGTCTCGGTAGGCACCAAAATATGACTGGCGCGGGCCTTAGGTTTGTCCGCCGCCACTAGGTGCTTTGTGCCGAAATCATTAAGCACTGTAACGGCGAAGAGCAGCGCCAACAGCGTCGTGTACACTCGCTTCACCGCCATCTTCTTTTTCGATCTTTCGAGTGTCATGACTTTTCACCCCGAAAACTATGTGAGACACATGAAAACGTACTTAAAGCAATAGCACTAAACTTTCTTACCACGCATTTTTGAGGGCGGGGCTACTAATCGGTTTCTCTGACATGAAGGCTCCGACAGCAGAAGAGGTGCTAGCGCTCGTGAATGCGGCCACGGGGCCCGATGGGACCATGGATCCGACAATGCAGCATCTACTCATGCAAATGCAAGAGCAACATGCCCTGAATCAAGCTCAGCTTCGAGGTCAGGCGCAAACCCAGCATCCCCATAGTGAAGTCAAGTTTAACGTCTCGGAGCAACCCAAGCCTGAAAAATCGGACAACGGCCACGGTACTGCCAGTACCGTCATCGACTTAATGCCATTATCGGCAGCTGCAGTGGCCATTGGGTCGTCCACCAATTCCGCACTGGAAAAGTCGACCTCCGAAGTGGAAGTTGCCTCTGGCCCGGCTCCACCTGCACCTGGAGCTCCACCAGCAACATTAACAGCAACTTTAACCTCCAAGGCCATGACGCGGAAAAGCATACCGTTAAGTATGAAAAAAGAGGCCATCCAATGGATTATGGGTCCAGGTAAAGGGATTCCTTCGCGTGCCGAGAAGCATTTTGGAGCGCTGAATTGGGACGTCAGTGCGTCTTCGTTCCGCAAGTGGTGGAAGAACCGCGACAAGATCTTGGGCGACTCTGGAGGCAAGAAGCGAATCCGTGGAGGAGGCAGGAAGCCGTACCTGGAAGACTCGGAGGAGAAGCTTTTGGTGGTGGTGATCCAGGAACGAGCCAAAAAAGACCGCGTGACGCGGAAATGGATCGCCAAGACGGCGCAGCACATGTTCCAGCGGTCTGACTCGACGTTCAAGGCCTCGGAGAACTGGGTCACCAAGTTTATTCGACGGAATGGGACTCACACTCAAGCGCAGTTACGTTACTTATGAGCCGCAACAATTGAAATTAGAAGAGCAGCACCAGCAGCCCTCGACGAGTGGAACAAGTGACCAGCCATCGACTTCGGCCCCAAAGTACGTTTAAAAGATAAAACTGGTGTGCTGTGTGGAGGTTTACCTAACGTTGACATTTGTGTTTAGCATTGTTGTGTAGCAGGTTGGCTTTTTGGAATAATGGGAACGACCAGACAAGTCCTGTATAAGACGTTTGAGTCATCTCGCCCCGCAGTTTTTACAAACTCTGTGTTTCGTATTCAGAGCAAGGTTTTATTTTGGTAGGAATCTTGTTAGTGACAGTGATGGAGCCATACTTTGGCACCGCAATAACGTTATTTTTCCGGGATTTGTGGCTTGCATCGCGGATTTACAAAGCCACAGTGGTAATTTGTTCGATGAAGATCGTGCTGTTCTGGCCGGCGGGGCTGCTGTTATTTTCTTCGATATCGGTTTAATATTCGACTATTGCCGCAAATTTACCAATCGTATTTTACAACATGTGATCGTCAATCGTACTGTAAGATATTTCTTGCAGGAAATGTTTTTGTGTGGTGTGTACATACATGTAATACTTATTTTCACGTAGATTGATGATACAAATATCAACGTTAATAGATTTTCTTAATGACGATTCCGGCGTACGAAGCACTTAACGGCGGGCGGCGTCGCGGTTGTTGGGGCTGGGGTCTCAGTTGTTGGCGCTAGTGTTGGGGCAGTCGTCGTGGGAGCAGAGGTTGGACTAGTAGTCGCAGGTGTTGCAGTTGTCGATTCAAATTGAAGATTTGTGTCAGTGCATTGACCCGCCGACAACGAAAATGTGCCCTCGATGACTTGACCTTTAATGGAGGTAAGTGCTACGTCCACAGCCGTGAGATCAACCTCCGACGAGCTCGTGATGAGGTAGTAGTATGCACCGCTGATCATCGACGCGACGTTGCCATTGATTCGGACGCTCTTGACTCCGATTACTGCATTTGTCGGCTGGACAGCGATCCAGAAGCCGTTGCTACCACTCTTGAGGCAGATCTTGAGGGTCTCTGGCCTCGGACAATCCACGAACTCCCATCGGATGGATAGGCGGCTTGGATCGGAGCCCGTGATGGTCTTGAATACCGAGGGCGATAGATCCAAGTCGCCGTATTTGCATTCAGGGCAGCGGTCTACGATCTGGACGATGCTAGACGCTGTTTGGTCTTCACACGCTTCGTCACTACACGAGACTAGAGCACAGCGACCACAGTTGCCCAAATTATCCCACTGCTCGTTGTTCAAAGCCGCATAATTCGTGGGTGCAATGCTGTTCCACGACATCAAATTGCAGTTGCCAGCACTAACTCCACCAAGCGTGTAAGTGGTGCCATCGCCTTCAAAGTACGCAGCGGAGGGATACACCGTGACGATGACGCACAGGAGGAGAGCGCGGAAGGTGAGTGAGTTGATCATGGTGAATAGACCTTTGATGCTGGACGTTGAAGTCGACTTGAGGAATGGCAAACCCGGGACGACAGCCGAAGAGATCAAGTTGAGTGCGTGGGTGGATCCACCGAGACGCATCGAAGTGCCCTACGTGCATTATCGCATGATGACTTTTTCCCGCGCTCTTCTATCTGCTCGAGGTGACCATTTCGGGGGGAGTTTTGTTTTGTAACAAGTCGCATGATGGGGTGGCGTGTGTGTGAGATTGGGTATTTTGTCGTAAATGGGATGTTGCTTAACAGCATCTCGATAGGTAAGCGTGCCAGATACAGAAAAGAACAAAGGCAGTTAACATCTTTGCGGATGATTTTTTTTTGCTATCCTGAGACTCGGGACACTCCCATCACTCTGGACCTTGAGATTACTAAAAAAATATATCAAAAAAATCTCGGTAGTTCAGTGGCGGTGATGACCTAACAAGTTAATACAAGCGCAATGAACGGTTTACTACGTGGACAAAACTATCAGAAGGAGCTCTCGTGCTCAAATGCAGTTAGACGCGACGGCTGCGCACCCGACACTTCGATGAGCTAGTTGTAGAAGGCGACGTCGTAATCGTAGAAAGCGGTGTGGCGGTGGGTGAAGTAGTCGAAGGCGTCGATGGCGTTGAAGTGATTGCTGAAGGGGTGTCAGTAGGAGTTGCACTTTCCTCCACGTCGTCCATTATAGAGCTTGCAGTGTCCTCTGCGCCACTTTTCTGCGTCTGAGTAGCAGCATTGGACGTCGGCGTTGGCATCGTAGTCGCTGGTAAAGCCGTAGTGGACACTAGTGTAGCTGTAGTGGACGCTGGTGCCACAGTAGTGGGCGTAGCAGTGGTGGACGAAGGTGTTGCTGCGGTAGACGCTGGTGTAGCCGTGGTGGACGTTGGCGTAACAATTGTGGGTACAGGCATTGCTGTGGTAGACACTAGTGTAAGCACAGTGGACGTTGGTCGGCGTCGTGGTTGTGTAGGTGGTCGTCTGATCGCTGCTGCTTGTGGTAAACTGCTGCTTGGTGTTCACGCACGCGCCGGCTGTCAGCGAGTAGGTGCCTTCCACAGTCTCGCCTTCAACGGATGTGATCGACACAGCCACCGACGTCAGGTCAACGTCACTTGTACTCTCGATCAGGTAATAGTACGCGCTGTCCACCATTGTGGTCGACTCGCCATTAATAGTTACGATCTCCACTCCAACCAGGGTGTTGGTAGGTTGTACGGCCACGTAGTATCCGTTGCTGCCGGACTTGAGGCAAACCTCGATGCTTCCTGGATTGGGGCAGTCCACGAACTTCCAGCGGATCGACAGACGGCTGGGGTCGGAACCGGTGATGTTCTTGAGCACCGTCGGTGACAGATCCAGGTCGCCAGAGCTGCACTCAGGGCACCGATCCAAGATTTGCACAATGGCAGTGGTGGTTTGGTCGGCACATTGGTCGTCGATGCAGGACACTTCGGCACAGCGGCCACAGTTGGCCAGGTTGTCCCATTGATCGTTGTTGAGTGCGGCGTAATTGGTCGAGGCCGTCGGGACAGCCGACATGAAGTTGCAGTTCCCACTACTTACATCGCCGAGCGTGTAGCTGGTGCCGTCACCTTCGAAGTATTCAGCCGAAGCCACAGCGGTGAAGCTTAGCGCGGCAATCATACGGAAGGCCATCTCGAGACTATGTCGCGCCGAATGCCAATTGGAAAGTGTCAAATTGTTTTCGTTATCGACGTCGACCGTGGACTTCCATAGAGTGAGACCAAGCCGTCTCCGCCACGCATTCGGCATGCTCGATTTTCATCTATCCGAGACCAAGATGCTCAGCAACTCGCGCGTTTGGTTCTTGCATGCCAGCTGGGTTCGTAAGAGGCGATGCTCGCCGCAAAGCGATAACGGCGGCTGCTTGACGGATCATTCGGAGTGTCGAGTGATCAAGACGTGCACTGATGGGTACAGCGTCAGTCTAGCTCAAGCTTTTGGCGACAGCATCATAGAATCCAAGCAAACTGTTGACAGTTGCCACATGACCGAACGTTTGATCAAAAGTTTGATTCGATAGGGCACGCCTCGAATGGGTGGACTTAAAAGCACGTTATACATTTTCCAGCGAAAATGCAACGCTCGACAAGAACGGATACTACGGACAGACACATGGAATGGCTATTAAAAATCTAGTTGCGGTGACGCCGACTTCTCACGTGGCACTTGGAGGTGTCACCGGATGGAGCAGGTGCTTCGGTAGGTGCATTGGTGACATCGGGGAAAGCAGTGGTGCCTTCAGGGGCAGTAGAAGTTGGGGCATCCGTCGCAGCCTCCGGGGTGGCTGGCGTAGCTTGTTGTGTGACCGGTGTGGATTCAGGAGCAGCGGGCGTGGCTTCAGGGGTGGTCGAAGCGGATGAAGAAGCCTGGGTCGCATCGGATTGAGAGCTCTGCTCGTACTGAGCTGTACTACCAGACTGGGAGCTCTGTGAGCCCTGCTCATTCAAGCTTTGACCGGTTTGCGAGCTTTCCTCGGATGTGCCGCTGCTGTACGTCTGCGTCGGGGAGGTGGCTGACGGTGTAGCTGTCGTCGCCGTTGGGGCGGCCGTTGTAGCCTTCGGAGCAGCAGTTGTCGGTGCCGGAGCTGACGTCGCGGGGTAGGACTGAGACTGGGAGGTAGAATCACCACCAAACTGTTTCTTGGTGTCCGTACACTTGCCAGCCGTGAGAGAGTAAGTGCCGGAGATCTCATCGCCGTTGACCGACGTGATCGCCACCTTTACGGCCAAAAGATCGGCATTTGACGTGGTCGCGACGTAGTAGTACGCGCCGTCCAGCATTTTCGTGGACGCGCCGTTGACCGTGACACTCTGGACCCCAACCAGGCCGTTCGTCGGTTGCACGGCGATCCAGTTGGCGTTGCTACCCTCCTTTAGACACACCTGCACGGTGCCCGGGTCCGGGCAGTCCACGAAGCGCCAGCGCATCGTGAGGCGGTTTGGATCCAGACCCGTGATTTTCTTGTACACCGTCGGCGACAGGTCGAGCGCACCGTGCGCGCACTTCGGGCAGCGATCGAGCACCTGGACGACTGCCGTTTTGTTCTTCGCAGTGCACTGTTCGTCAATGCAGGACACTTCAATGCAGCGTCCACACCCGGCGAGGTTGTCCCATTGCGCCTGGTTCAGAGCGACTGTAGTGGGTCTCAAACTCGAACACACACTAGGGAAGCTGGCGCTTCCTGTTAACCTTGATCTATTCTTTGTCTTGAGGTAAAACTCAAACTACCCAAACTTACTACTACGACGTGTCGGTAAGTGACATCACGTCCTCGACTATACCGTACGATCCTCAGCTATACCTTACGTCCTAATGCCAGCTTGGCCGCACGTTCTGTGCGGCCCAGTGCAGTGGGCAAGGCTTGGTCTTCAAAGCACCTGCCTCTACAGCGACGTAGTTGTCGGATGCACTCGGGATGGCCGACATAAAGTTACAGTTACCGCTGCTGACTTGGCCAAGTGTGTAGCTGGTGCCGTCACCCTCGAAGTACTCGTCCGCTGATGTGACGAACGCTGTCGCGAAGCCGATCAAGGCGACGGTGAGTCGTAAAGCAGCGACCATTATACTTGGTGAATACCCTCAAGTGAAGATGTCGGACTTGTACAGCGGAATGGAAAGTGAGACGGATGATTCGCCAACAAGGCAGCAGGGCAGAGTCAGCAGGCACGTGATGCAGTCCAGAGGGTACAGGTGAGGTCTACCCAGACAAGATTTGCAACAGGCGCCGGACTGCGAACCCCTGGCAGCGAACTTATGGTTCACGAGCAGCACAATTGATCGATGCATAATCGTTAGCATGGATATCACCGTGAAAATCACGCGGCCGTGGTGACCCCGCTTCAACTGTTCGCCATGTCTGGGTCACTGATCGGTTGACACGCACTGCGCGACGCGCCTTTGCAGTCGCATGGGTTCCGCTGTGAAAGCCACGTGCACTTCGGCGTCTGCTGAAGCCGATCAGCACGACGGTGTCAAGCAAACCACGTGGACTAACACGTGGGGGGGGGCAATCGGCGGAACATTATTTCATTTCAGCACTACAAGTACTATTAATAAGCAGAAGCATGCGCGTCGCGGCCTCTGTCTTGGTGGAAATGTGAACAGGTCCTAGCAAGATGCTCACGATCAATAATTCATTATTGACAATAAAAACCACGGTGGCGCAAGACCAGCTGGGCTTTCGGAGACCGCGAGATCGTGGATATTGGTCAAGGCGTGGGATCGCAAGGATGACCTAGCAGGCACCAGTGCCTCCTTGGAACGAGCTGTCAACTTCGCGTGGCGAAGGCACTCGCCTTCAAGGCACCAATGAATATCTTAGCCTCAAACTCCTTCACGTCAAGGAGTCGGTTCCCCGCTTGAGTGACCATCTGAACGACATCCTTGTTTGCATTGCACCCAACAGACGAATTTATGCTGAACCTCGCTCAAGTGATTGCGAACGCGAATTGTGTCTCTACTTCGAAGTATTATGCAACACTCTTTCTCATGGTGGATCAAATGCAGTGCTATAGCTCCTGTTTGATTGCCGATACTGTACTGTATACTGTTCATGTAACAAGGGTGGTGGAAGTATTATAGCTACTACAGTAGATACGCATCGAACAGTAAAACGAAACAGATAATATTTTTTACGTCATAGTTGTAGGTAGCCGAGCTACAAGGGCTCGCACTGCCACCCCTCAAGTTTGGAGATTATCCCTTTAGAACTGTTTCTTCGTGTCGACACACCCGCCCACCTTCATAGAGTACGTGCCCGAGACAACGTCCCCTTCGACGGAAGTGACGTCCACCTTGAGCTTGTTAAACGACACCTCGTCGGCGCTATCGATCTGGTAGTAGTAGGCCCCATCCAGCAGCTTGCCGGTCTTGCCATTGATCGACACACCCTTGACAGCAATACGAGTGTTCGCGGGCTGAATAGCGACCCACCACGGGTTGCTTCCCTGCTTAAGGCACACTTTGATGGTGCCCGGATTGGGACAGTCCACGTACTTCCAGCCGATTTTGATGCGCCCGGGGTTGTAGCCGACGATCTTGGTCAGAGCGCTGGTGGACATGTCCAGGTCGCCGTACTTGCATCCCGGGCAGCGATCCACGACTTGCAGCGTTACGGCTGTGTTCTTCTTACACTTTGGGTCGATGCACGTGGCTTCAATGCACTGCCCGCAGTGCTTTAGGCCATCCCATTGCGCCTGGTTCAAGGCCACGTAATTGGTTGATGCCTGACTCCAGGACGACATGAAGGCGCAGTTACCCATGTCCACAGCGCTGAGGTCGTACGGCGTGCCATCGCCCTGGAAGTAAGTCTGACCGGCCGACGTGGCAGTGACGCCAAGAGCCAGAAGCGCGGAATAGTGCAGGGCGCTCACCATCTTGTCAATTTGAAGGCGAATTGAGAAATGGGAGCTCAGATGAGTAGCGCGGCCAGAACGCAAAGTGGAAAGGAGGGCAGCGCCCTGCCGCAGGGCGCTGCCGATGCTGCAAACCAGTTCAAGGAACGACGAGGGTCTCTGGTGTGTCCCCGCGACGTAACGCTATGCGAGCACAGACAGCGCTGGACTTGCAGTAAGAGCACTGTTTTCGAGCATATCAACCGTAGATGCACATACTCCTGGATGGTGAGTCAGTGGCGGCTTACCCTTTCGAAATGAATCACGAAGCACTCGATTGCGGTTTGCTACTGCGCAAATCTCGTGCTGGTTGTTGTCGGAGGAATTACGATAATCCAGTACAAGAGTACTGGATTCTTGACGTATTTTCCCTTAGTTAATATGAAAACTAAAAAACGGCCTAATGCTACACAATATTCCTTAATTTGTGATTCCAAAACAGTGGACACTAGGGCACTTTTAATTTTGGCCCTACGTAAAAAATTACACTACGGAGCACTATCACTTCGACCCTCTCCTTAAGGAGAGGGTAACGCGGCTTTAATTAGTAACATTACGATGTTGGACCGATTCCCGCATCTACTAGTACTTAATTGATTCAATACGAGTATTTCGAGTAAGTCCATTAAACGCTCGAGCACAAGGCAGCTAGCTGTAATACATTAGCTTACTGTTTTAAGGTTGTATTCTTACTGCTCAGCGGGAGTACGAACTGAAGGCGTCGAGTGATAAACGGCGTCTTGGTGCGTCAAGTTCGGTATGCGAACTTAGTATGTCGACGAGACAATCCAGTTTTTTTTTCTACTGGATTATGATAAATTCCCTTCGCTCTACATGTGTATTAAACATGTACTGTACTATAGTATTACTGTACGTGACGTACAGCAGGGCCAACTCGGGGTGGACTGAGCGGAGGCTCCGACTTGGGCTGTGCTACATGTACAGTCGTGCACCTTTAATTCGACAGGGCGGACCATATCAACAGTGCCAGGGCATAAGTGCATGTACAGATGAAAACTTTTGTCGTCATAGCGTCCGGAACCAACATTTTATGCATAGGGTGGCCCGTGTACCGTGGAAATGGTACATTTACAGAAGTCGCGCACCCTTGCATTTGCGGACCTCCTAGAGTCTCTCATTAATTAATTTTCCAAGCTAGTGCCACCAAGATGCTAGTTCAGGACACAGCACCGAAAGTGCTTGCAGATCATCGACAATGCTAGCGTCCATGGAGCCTATGACGCTGATGAGAACTACAAATGTCGAATTGGCGTTCCTACCGCGAGATACTACTAGTAAGCGACAGGGCGTGTCGGATAGAAGTGTGCAGGGGCTTAAAGTGATGCAGAGAGAAAGCTGCGAGACGAGCTAAGCAGGAAGGAAGGGTGCAAGCAGCAGATGTCCTTGCCTGCTAACTTTGGACGTGCTGAACAACAGTGACTTTAAGCACCTCAGAACAGTCATTTTTCGTAATTTTATATTTTATTTCCAAGGGAGGGGTGATAGATATTTCAATCAAAGGCTTGTTTTAATCAGGAGCCGATTTTTTATTCTTGCCAGAGGGTATTCTATGAGCAGAGAGTACTACCGAAGGGTTGATCTGTATAGTGATTTACCTGAAGTGGGCACAGTGCATTGATTTAGTTTTTAAGCTACAGGAAGATCGTTCATAGTTGTCGCTGAGAACTCTAAACGCAACTCTCAGATTCACAACTTCAGCAAGGCAAGGTGTTGGACTGGTACATGTACATGTACATTTACCGAGTGTGCAGCACTGTACATGTATTGTAATAAAGTGGTGTGTGCGTGTTTCCACGCCATTACGGAATGTTACATGAATACTCTGTACATTCAATGTACCTGTACCAGTTCATGTAACGTTGTTCGTTGCACGAAAGAAAGAAGACAGCTGTTTTTGATTCTTGTTCTCCGCTTACGACATGGCGCTCCAACACAAACACTCGTTACAAATAAAACTACTGGAAGTCATAGGCCCTTCACTACAATGTACAGTACACCCGGGTGCTCTACAAGATGCCGGCCAACGCGTGTCTCCTGTCAGAAGGCGTAGTCTGCACGTCGAAAGACTGCACGCTCACCATGGAATGTGCCTCCATATCCCGGACCTTCTCTTCCTGGATGTTCTTCCTCTTGGCCATCACCACCACCACAATGAGCGCCACGACGCCCACAGCACCAAACGTGGATAGTACGATGATCAACCAGTCCGTGCCGGCCGAAGACTCCTCCGACTTCGTAGTGATCGTCTGAGTGCCATCGTCATCGCCATCTTGTCTATCGGCGGTCTCTTCTGTCGACGGAGCCGTCGAAGCGGCCGGCACGACGGCGTTCTGCTGGGTCTGCTCTTGATCGTATGTGTATTCATCGTCGGAGGTAGCACTGCTGGTATCGGGGATCTTGCCGTTGGTCTTGCCGCTCTTCTTCGGTGCCGTTGTGGCTACTGGTTTGACCGTGCCGGTCACGTTGAAGAGCTGTAGGCTGTCGTCACTTTCACTCGCCGTTTCCGAGTCCTGAGTGGGCGTTGATTCAGGTGAAGTCGTCGCAGGCGCGAGAGTTGGTGGGGCAGTAGTTGAAGGCGCAACGGTAGCAACAGGCATATTTGTCGGAGGGGCAGTGGTCGGAGGGGCAGTGGTCGGTGGAGCAGTGGTCGGAGGAGCAGTGGTAGACACAGGAACAGAAGTGGGTAAGATGTCTTGCTCAACTGGTGGGGCAGTAGTAACAGGGGCAGAAGTAGCAGGACGCACCGTGGTGGGGGGAGGCGTCTGCGTCGTAGGAGCTGGGGTCTGTGTCGGCGTTGGTGTCGGCGTGGGGGCTTGTGTCGGAGCTTGTGTTGGAGCCTGTGTAGGCGGTGACGTCGTGGGTGCCGCCGTCGTCGACTTGGGGGCACTGGTGGTCGGCGTGCTCTGCTTCGGCGAGGACTGCGAAGTGGAGCCGCCCGAAGGGAACTGGTTAACGCCTTCCGTGCATGAGTCGGCAGTAAGCGACACTGTGTCTTCGATCGAGTTACCGTTCACGTCCGTCATGGAGATAGTCAAGCTGGTTAGGTCCGTCTGAACCTGACTAGCGCCGTCCAGTAGGTAGTAGTACGCCGATCCGAGCATGGTCGTGTCCTGGCCGTTGATCTGCAGGCTCTTGACGCCCGTGGCGCAGTTGGTAGGTTGCACACCCATCCAGTAGTTGTTGCTACCGCCCTTTAGGCAGTAGTTAACGTTACCCGACACGGGGCACTTCACGAACTTCCACTTGATGGTGTACCGGGACGGGTGGGACCCGGTAAGCGTCTTGAAAACCGATGGTGACAGGTCCAGGTCGCCGTACTTGCATTCTGGGCAGCGGTCGAGAATCTGCACCACGACGGACGTGGACTGGTCAGCGCATCGGTCGTCAGCGCACGACACCTCGGCGCAGCGACCACAGTTCTGAAGGCCGTCCCATTGCTCGTTGTTTAGAGCGGCGTAGTCCGTTGTGGCGAAGTTGAGTGCCGACATCATGTTGCAATTACCGGCACTGGTCTGGCCCAACGTGTAGGCTGTAGCGTCACCGGTGAAGTACTCGTCGGCGTTAGTAACCGCCAGGGTGGCCGCCGTCGCGATCAAAGAGAATGCCTTCATTCTTGCGGAAAAAAATAGTCAATATATACAAGGTCCGGCGACGCGAATGGAGTCCGACGTTCGAGTTTTCAATTGCTCGACGGCCGGCAAAAGCGGGAATGAAGGACGACACGAAAGCCCACGCAGAGAGTGGGCAGAGAGTTGCCTGTAGGAGGAGATCAAAAGACCGCTGGATCGTCTTGGTTTGCCGGCTGGACAGGCAGGGCCCAGCTGGCGCCGCGGACCGAAATGTGCCTGTCAATACCGGTACAGTACCAGGCGCGCTCCGTACCGAAACGGCTGAACATGTTGCGGCGGCATTTCGGTGCGTTGATGACCGAATGCCTCGAACTCCGAGGCAAGGCCTGTCGAGCGTGAAATCGGAGGAAGAACCTCTGGAAAACGGTCAGCGCTACACATTCTCGATGGGGCCTCGGTGGTTCCCACGCAAAAGGTTAACCCACGTAGAGCCAAGTCCATGCGCTGTCACGACTGTCCATGTGGTGGCTCATTTCTTGGGGCACAAAGGACAAAGCAAAGGACATTCGTTGATGAAAGAGCTGCACTTTTATTTTGATGGGGCACAGTTTGTGCCGTACAGATATCCATGTGAAGAGGGTGGACAGCCAGGAGCAGCAGCCACAAGGTCACCCCATCAGAGTGGCATGGTGCTCTCCATCTGCTGGCACGTCAATTGTCGACAGGAAAGATCGTCACATCCAACTTGGTCACCGTGTGGTCCCTGGACACGAACAGCTCAATGCAGCGACACCAAGTTCAGATCTTAGGATGCTAGTTACGCTTGACATGCTGATGACATTACCGGCATGCCATCAGGCCTTCCGATAATTCAACCGCATGATATTCTTGCTTTTTTGTGAAAATAGTACTTGCAAGGAAACACTTATTAATGACAAAATACGTTTTTGTTTTGATAAGAGCGATATACTTCCAAGATACATTGCTGGCTGGTGTCAAAGGCATGGTGAATTGGATACGCCCTTCACTCTAATTATTAAAGTCGTGCTTCGAAACTAGTCGTGCCTCGTACTTAAGAGATTATTTAGGGTAACAAAACCATAATTAGTCATGCACCACAAATAACCGTGCACCATAATTAGACGTGCACCATAATTAATCATTCCAGCGAGTGACCAACAGCCCTCAACTCGGCGAGCAAGCTGTGTGTCTTAATTAAGGGTGGTGCCAATGCCAAACTCCTCTGCCCAATGCTGATCTTCAAGAACGCCAAGTCAAACTATCCTATTCTAGGCCTCCTGGATTGCGTTAATGAGGTCTGCTATCGTACATCCCCGAGTGCGTTCATCAACAATCGCATCATGGCTGAATGACTGCGCGAGGCGCGCAGTTGGGGTCCAGCAGGCCCGCTCGCCAAAGAACGCCAGATATGGATGAATATCATCGAGGTGCCGACACAAATTTAATCATCATTTAAGTATAGGAAAATGGCAGCAGTGTGCGCCTTTTGACCAATGACATTCATCTATGTATCTAATCTACCAATAATATCCACTAGGGGTAGGTTTACAGGCTACCGACATTGTGCCGACGTATAATGTAGGCACGGAGGGCAGAATATGCAGCGGCTCAATACGAGCCACTAGTTCAGTCCACATCACTGGCATATTTGCGCTCTTGCCGACAAAACACTAGAAACGAGTATGAGCCTTCAAGACCTCGCACCTGCCAACTCCCAGCGCGCTCGCCAAACAGCTATCAACGCATTTGGCCGGTTCATCGCTGCGGAAGGAGTCACCATGGACTTGGTCGCAGCCTCCCTCCTTGGAGACGGAAGCGGAGCGGTGTTTGTGAAGCTCATGGATCGCTTTGGTGTTCATCTAGCCTTTATGGAGGGACGAGGAGGGAAGCCGCTGGCTAGGAACTCTGTCATGAGCTATTACCGTCACGTGAAGAACTGGCTGCTCGACACCTACCCGAAGCACCGCACGGCCATCGAACAGAAGCTTCTCAAGATGGGCCAGACGCTCGAGCGCCACTGCCTTAAGAGAGTCGAAGGTGGAATGGTCAAGAAGGCACCTGCGTGTACGAAGGAGGACTTGCGTATTCTGATGGATGGACTCTACTATGACGCCGCCAGCTCCAAGGACTACCAAGACGCGGCCTTGCTTGCACTGATGTGGTATGCGTTTGGTCGTGCCTCCGACCTTGGGTTCGTGGTCAAGGGCAATCTTTCTGTTAGTGCCGATGGTGTGGTGTTCGTTAGGCTCATCCGGGTGAAAACAGCAGAAGAACAAGGGATTTCACTTTTCCCCGACAGGGACAGCTTCATAACGTGCCCTCTCCATGCTATCGCAATGGCACTGGTAATGCAAGATTCCCCGTGCGCCCAACTACTCGACCATCCTCATCTTGCGGCAGGGAGCGAGGAGAGTGTGGCAGCACCTGTCGACATCCCACTAGCTGAAGCCCTTGCGCTTTGCGACGACGACGACGTTCCAGCTGAACCTCCTCAAAAAACGCGAAAGGTACCTGTGGATAACATGAAGATCCATGCCTACGTGAATCGCGTTGTCAAGTCTGCATCGGCTGCTCAAGCCAAAGCGAACCCCACTGGGAATTTGACGTCTCATTCGTTTCGGCGTGGTGGAGCCCAACATGCCAACAGCGACCCACTACTCAGTGCACAATGGATTTTCGACAGAGGGTCGTGGAACATGACGGCAACAAACAAAGCGTTCGCATACGTATTCAACACAACAAGTGAAGACCAGAAGGTAGCTCGAGTACTCAGCGGGTGGGACTCCAGCAAAAAGCCACCGGTACCCACACTTTCATGGTTTGACTTCGCGAGCCGAGAGCAAGCGCTGGAATTGGGAAATCTGTTATTTCAGACTAGCATCAACACCCAAGATCCAGAGAAAAAACCCAACGGGCGTGTGGCTGAAGTCCTGGTGGCGTCGTTGATCCAGCATTTCCCTGAAGTACTCGAGCGCTATCCGATGTGCCTGTACGCCACCAGAATGCGGGAATGCTTAATGACGGTTGGATTGTCCAGGGCTCAGATGCTAGCGTGGAGTTCGGAACTGCAAGGGAAGGTTACGCGGAAGGATCTCGTTGAGAACGAGGTGGCCGAAGAGAAGCTAACAAGAGAGGAGAAGCTTATCAACCATCAGAATCGCATTATTGGCGAGCTGATAGCGATGAACCGCTCATTAACCGACCGAGTCAGCCTACTCGAGCGTGGTGTCAGTCAGGCGGTAGCGTCCTCATCTCCGTCGTCTAATGCAACTCAGGTAGGTGCGGATTGCTCGTAGAGTCCTGCCAAGTCCAAGACATGTGGAAGCAAGGCGCTTCCTAAGGGACCTGCAGCTATTTGGTTTGAGTGGTACGCGAAGACCCCAAGAATCTGGGATGTGTGCGGAGATCGGCAGAGAAAGTCTGCCTACAAGCAAACCGTGAACTACATGAAGCTGTTCTTGCCTAACGGATTTCATCTGGACCCGTCCACATCGACGTACTGCGACCAAGTCCTTCGTGTTGGACAAGAAGCAGAGGCAAACTTGCTCAACTTTTTTCAAGAGCAAGGCACTAAGCGCAAGAGTGGGTCTTCCGCCCTCAAGCAGCTGCGGAAGTACTACAATGGAGGCAAGCTGAACAAGCTGATAGAAGCATATCGGGCTCGTGTTGCGACGGAAGGGATCACTGATCCAGCTCCACGCGAAAAAGCATGATCTTTTTTCACTCAAGTAGATTACTCAGGCTAATACCAGCTACACAAACGACTTAAAGAGACATACAAACAAACTCACATTTTCACGTGTTGTTTAATATTAAATTACTGTGGAGTTGCCCAAATTTAATTATTATTACTATAAATTAAACTGACAATGTGTTTTTAAATTTAAAACTTGAATTTTGAAGAAGGATTAAAAGTAAAAGAAAATTTATTTTGATTGATTACTTGGCTCGATGGCATAAACACCATCAACCTCGGCAAAGAAATATTGCAATCCCTCCTCAGTGCTTGCCTTGTAGACGAATTCATCGGAGTCGATAAGGTAGTGTTTGTCACGAACTAAAGCTCGCGCAATACAGTGCCACGTCCCTTTCTTCTGACCCATTGCTCTACCAATGATCATGAGATGCTTGTACTTGGAGCGGGCCACCTTCTTAAACCACTTCTTCTTGCTACAATTGAAAGTCGCCATGTTGTTGAGGTACCTCAGTTGATATCCCTTGGCTCGAAGTGCTTCGTGCAGCGCCGCCGTAGAATAGGCACCGTATTTGTCGTTACCGTGAGGTTCAAGGCCCTCACTTTCGCCTGATTTTTCGTTCAAACGACGCACAATTGGCGCCATTGTCTCAACCGACAACATATCGCGGTGTTGAAGAGCATTGTTGACCGAATATAATCCGCACAGCGAGTATCGAACCGAAGTTCCGCTCTGATTCTGACACATTGGACCACCTCTTGTCCGTCTCAAATTGTTGGATTGCATCTCTGTCCTGATTATCTAGCAAATCGCCGGATCCGAAGAGAAACGCGCACCGAAAGACTCCCAACTTCTACTTCACACTGACTTTTCCGCGAAACGGTCGCTAGCAGAACAATGGCTAAAGGGAGTGCTAAAGTAGAAGTGAGTTGGGGGAGCGTTGGCGCAGGCAAACTTCCTGCTAGCCATTCATGCTAAAAGCGTAAGAAACCATGTAGTTATGCGACCTAGCCTAGATGTCTCTGTGTAGTAACGTTACCATGTGAGAATTGCATTAGCTTCTAGCGTTTCAAGCATTAGCGAAATGCAGTTTACTGCAATTGATTTGCTCTACACATCATTGATTGCCCAGCAGCTGTGAAAGTGTCAATGATGTGTCCTTATTGGTGACATAGCGTACAAGTTATTGTACAAAATGTCTTACCATACAAAATATGTTCTGGACCCAATCCTGCATAAGTCGATGCATCACCTTTTACAGGAAAGATAAATCAATGGTGCCAGGAAACTCTCTGAAGACAGATTCATAAAATTCAATCACATCTC